CCGAGGCCGGGTCACCCCTGAGGCCGGGTCACTGTGTCCTGCTTCCGTGTCACCTTTGAGACCATCAGGCAGATTGCCGTTATGTATTTATTCACTTCATTTTATTCCTTTGCAGACAGGGTCTCACGGGGCCGGGCCCCTCCAACTCCCCATAGTCGGGGTCTGTTCCTCCTGCCTCCACCTCCTGAGCCTGGGGTCACGTGTGGGCAGCATGCCTGTGGCTGCTCACACCAATCACACCCACCCCACACACCTCCATACCCCACACTCCCCCACACCGCTCACACCCACCCCACACACCTCCATACCCCACACACCCCCACACCGCTCACACCGCTCACACTCCCCCCACACCTCCATACCCCACACACCCTCACACCGCTCACACCGCTCACACTCCCCCCACACCTCCATACCCCACACACCCCCACACCGCTCACACCCACACACCTCCATACCCCACACCGCTCACACCGCTCACACCCACCCCACACACCTCCATACCCCACACACCCTCACACCGCTCACACCCACCCCACAGACCTCCATACCCCACACCGCTCACACCGCTCACACCCACCCCACACACCTCCATACCTCACACCGCTCACACCGTCACACCCACACCCTCACCCCCCAGCTCCCTCTCGGCAGCACAGAGGGTCCATGTGCACTCACGGAGCGGAGCGCGCAGCCATCCATCGGGGCGGGGTGGGTGTGGCTGTGGGTGAGGCTCCTGTTCCAGGTTAGGAGGGAGGCTGACCTTGCCGGAGGTCAGTGCGAGCCCGGCCTCAGCTGCTGTCCACTCTCTGCCCAGGTGGACGTCACTTCCGTGGGCTACAGGGGACGCTGGGGACATTTGCTCTTCAGGAGAGCTGGCTCGTTGCCCGGGCACTGGCAGAGCCGAACAGTTCTTGAGTCAGGAGTAAGGACTGAAAGAAAATGCGTCAACCAGCACCTTACACACGGGACCTGTGGAAAGGGCTTCTAGGAGAAGCCAGTCGCCCAGTTCATTCCCATAATCCCCTTGTAGGTCAGAGCAGAGGCGCCTCAGCACAATGGGGCTCAGGAGAAGTCAGACTTGTTTACCTTGACCACCTGTCTGTGTGATCCTCACACAAACAAAAGGTGTGAATTTGACAAGCATCCCACCTGCTGTCTCAAACAAAAGGAGGGAGACTTGGCGAAACAGCCAGCTTGTTACTGACTCCAGTGACGCCAGGGTGAAAACAGCTCTTTCCACAGAGGTTCAATAAAAAAGCAGCCTGACAGACCACCGGCTCCCCACAGCGAGTGTTTGCAAAAAGTGTGCTCTCTGTGACAGCGTGCCTTCCCTTCCTTCTTCCTCCTTCCCTCCATCCTTTCTTCAGTCCCTCCTTTCCTTTCATCCATCTTTCCTTCCTGCCTAACTTCCTTCCTTCCCTCCCTTTTCTCTCCTGCTCCATCATATTCTGTCCGTTCTTGCTTCCTTCCTTCCTTCTCTCCCTCCTTTCTTCCTTCCTTCCCTTCTCTCCCCCGCTCCTTCTCCTTCCTTCCTTCTTTCCCTTCTCTCCACTGCTCCATCTCCTTCCCCATTCCCTCCCTCCTTCCTTTCTTCCTTCCCTTCTCTCCCCTACTCCTTCTCTTTCCTTCTTTCTTTCCTTCCTTCCCTTCTCTCCCCTCTTCCTTCTTCCTTCCATCTTCCCTCCCTTCCCTCCATTCTTCCTTCCTTTCCTTCTCTCCCCTCCTCCTTCCTTCCATCCTCCCTCCCTTCCTCCCTTCCCTTCTCTCTCCTCCTCCTCCTTCCTGCAAACACAATCGCGGCTATCACTGTGGTGAGGATGCTCAGAGAGGTGGAGGGACTTTCCCAAGCTCACACAGCTGCCGGGGAGTTCTGCTTTTGAAAAAAACAGAGAGGAGCAGCTTCAGAGCGGTGCTGGCCAACGCCTGTGATCCCAGCACTCAGGAGGCAGGGGCAGGCGGATCTCTGAGTTCGAGGCCAGCCTGGTCTACAGAGTGAGTCCAGGACAGCCAGGGCTACACAGTGAAGCCCTGTCTTGGTTGTTGTGTGTACCCACAGCTGTCCTGGAGACAGAAGGAGACCATGACATCGTGATCTGCTAAATTCACGCTGAAGAATTGCACAATTGAGTTACAAAATATCACCCAGAAACCTCATGGTCCTGCTCTGTATCAAGTGTGCTCCTGAGCGTTACATTTTATATTTAAATTCATTGAAAGTGTGAGTGTGAGCATGTGTGTGTGTGGGAGTGTGTTTTGCTAGGGACCAATCTACATCCTTGTATAGGCTGGGCAGGGGCTCCACCACTGAGCCACACCCAGCCCCTCACTGGGGGACTCTAGGCAGGTGACCACTGAGCCACACCCCAGCCCCTCACTGGGGGATTCTAGGCAGGGGCTCCACCACTGAGCCACACCCAGCCCCTCACTGGGGGATTCTAGGCAGGGGCTACACCACTGAGCCACACCCAGCCCCTCACGGGGGGATTCTAGGCAGGGG